GGCAGCGTTTTGATTGCGGCTCAAAGGAGGCTCATCATCTCGAGTGCTTTTCAGTCACAGTCCTGTGAACGAGTCGCTCGGCCTTCGTCTTAACACATTCCAAACACATAGTTATGCTGATGCTCTGTCCCTCTGTCTTTCTCTCCACTCTCCCCCTCCCAACCCCGTACTTATTTTAGATTAGCTCTCTAATCATGTCCAAAAGACACACGCTCCAAACGTCTCCTAGTGTCCCTCGCTGCTCCCTCCGTCCGCCCTGCTCTCTTACTCCATTCATGGGACAACTGCTGGTTTGATGAGGATTAGTCAAAGGTCTGACTTGAGGCCCAGGTTGAGACTGAACAAGTGATCTGTTAACGAGGACATCAGCTCACGATTGTCTGGAAAAACTCAAGACCGGAGCCTGAAAGGCACAGCTGTCCACTCGTCCACCAGAGGAGTTCAATTAAAATCCCAATTATCGTCATCAACCCCCATTGTTGTAAACACAGTCTGGTGACAAGTGACAAACAGGGTAATAGTGATGATAAAGAATTTTACTTTATATTTATTTATTATATTTTCTCAAATGACCACAGACTGGGCCACTCTGATGTTGTGTTTTGGGCTGCATGTGGCCCACGGCCCACTATTTGAATAACTAGGCTTTAACCCATTGAAGAAGCTGGAACTGTCTCTACAGATCAGTACAGTACAAACACTTTACGTAATGATTCACAATGAACAATACATAATAGTGTCTCTAAAGCTATGGTTCCCAAGCCTTTTTTGGCCCGTGACCCTATTTTTGACCCTGGAGGGAAAAAAAAATTCTTCCTAGAATTAGAATTAGTTAATATATAATAATAATTAGTTAAAGAAAATATTTTATCAGTATTTTTTTAAATCAATTACTAGACATTTCAGGGGGACTTTTTTTTTAATTCCAGGCGACCAGTTGAAAAGCACCGCTCTAAAGTAATGACTCAATGTTGCATGGCACTTGTAATAATATTTTGAGCACAGTTACAGGCAGGAGGCAGACAAGAGCAGGGCTTTAACCGAGCTTATCTTTATAAGAGCAGAGTAGAATTCCCAAGTACCCAGACTGGAGGACGCAAGTCAGTCCATCATGGTCCTAATGTACTTGTTTTCTCTTAAACATCGCAGCTAAACGTCGTAAACTGCCGATGTCGTCTTTACACCGCGATGCATAATTTATTTAGCTGCACTATTCTTGGTTGAAATCTTAATAATTTTGTTTTTAAATCACACACAGCACCTCTGCTGAAGATGGTGTCTGTGTGTGTGCATGTGTGTGATGTGAAACAGCATCCATAAAACACCCTGTAACGTACAGGTAACAACAGGACAGGACTGCCGATGCGAACGCCTGCCTGGCTCAGTGGTGGATGTCAGACTGTGTTCTAATGGTCGACTCATCAGCCACCGCCTCAGTTAGCAGCCGGAGCCAGGCATCCATCTTCACAATTGTACCTAATGAGATATCGATCAGTTACATGCAGGTCTATCAATATTTTCTTTAGATTCCCAGTTCTACACACGTGTTGTTATAACACGGTGGATAAAATCTGCACAGTGAGAAGAATGTTGTTTTTTTTTTAAATCAGTCCACCCACTCCGATTTTCTCTCTTAGCTTTTTTTTTTAAAAGTACAATTAATGGCTTCAGGCACAACACTAACACTAAGCAGTATTTTTTTTTTTCAGTTAAATACTTCTCACATTCTGTATCTTGAAAACCTGAAAGGCACTTTTATAAAGTAGATTTATAAAAACCCCAGCCCTCATTCAGGAGTCTATTGTTGTATTCTGGTCTGTTTACTTTCTGTTATGGACTCACGGTTTCCAATTCCAGTCTTGCCTGAACTCCTGCTACAACTGGACCTTTTAAAGACCAATACCCGTGGTGGTGAGTCAGTAAGAGGCGGTTTGTTTCGTTTTAAATGTACTTTCCGTTTTACAATAAACCCACGCCCCTGAAGCACATACTGTAGTCTGCAGGTAGTACTACTTCAGTCGTAGAACTTCTAACCTGGTCAGACCATGAGCTTTGTTTAGGTAGAATACCTGTTCAGTACAATGTGTAGTACTCTCTGTGCTCACTACAGATTACCAGACCAGGGGACGCAGGGATTTGAGGCTGCTTTTTTTTGGTTTTTTTTTTTTTTTTTTTGCCCTCATTTTCCTTTTCTTGCTGACATTTTCTTGGTCTTGCACTTTTGAAGCGAGGTTATTTTAAAATGTCTCTCCCTCCGTTTTTGAACACCGTGCAGAGCTGCAGTCTGACAGACGTTCACACTCTCGCTGAAGTAAAGTTAGCATGTTGTAGTGAGACAGAAAGTGGGAGGGAGCAAAAAGAAATGTCTCCGTCACCTTTCAACCTTTTTGCTGCAAATTGCCTTAAGCTTTAGTTGATATTAGATTAAAATACATCATGAAAAAAAACAGGTAATGTAAGCAAAGCCATTTTCAGCGTTTAGCAGCGTCTGATGTCGTATTCGTCTGCTCTCCTCACAAATTAGTTCCTGTGCAAAATTTGTTTTGAGGACGTCGTAAACAGAGGACGTTGTAGACCGAGGACATGGTAAACCCACAGACAGTCATGTAGATCTTCTGGCTGTGGCATAAAGAGCTCATTGTCCAGGGACTGAAAATACTGGACGTGTTCACACTGTCAGCTCATCTTTAGTTACAAAAAAAAAAATGCGACGTCTTACCCACTTTCACCCCTCAGCAGCTTCCATGATGGGGCACTAAGCATGTGAAGCCTGTGAGTGACAGGTCGGATCCAGACGGGAGGATAAGGTGGATGACGGAGCAGTGGGGCGGGGGGGCGGGGGTTGTTGGGGGGAGTATGAGGAAGGCAGGATTCTAGTCAACACTCAGTGGCATGCACTTCAGCTAATGAGAGAGGCAAGGGGTCAGCTTCTAACTACACAGAGATAATGGCCATCTCTTGAAACCATGGCAACAGCAGCCGTCCTGCCATCCACCCACCCTGCTGCCTCACCCCGTTGCAGTTTTTTTCCCTCCTTACTTCCCCTGTCATATTTAATTTTAGAGAAATCAATGCGACGGCTTCCTGACCGTGACCGATGATGCGGGTTGCGTTCACGCTCCAACGTCGGGGCGCTGACCACCCACTGGATCATTATGTATCATTTTCAGCTACAAATGATGACGTTAAAAGATCCCACACTGTTACATTCACAAAGTGGAGTATCACCTCGCCTCAAATAGATGTACTAATTTTAACCTGTGGAAGAGTGAGACGGAGAGAGAGAGAGAGAGAGAGAGAGAGAGAGAGACATTCACAGATGGAGAGGAAAAGAGGAAGAAAACATGCGGCACATACAAAGGTGGTGGAAATTGATGTGTGGGACTGGAAGTACTCTTCAGGACGTGCAATTTCAGAAGTAATAAAAATATCAGTGTTACATTTAGCATGTGATACAATCTCTATAGAAAAACATAATGAGTATAGAGTACTTTTACTGCATCTACTGTGTCAAAAAGGCAGTATTATGTTGTACTATGACACATACACTAAACAACAACATACTTTATACCAGGGGTCCCCAACCCCCCGCCCTTTGTGACTGTGTATCTGCTGCGTGTTTGGTTTCTGCCTCTTCTCGTGTGTGTCTGTCATAATAACAAAACAAAACAAAAAAAAAAACAACGTGGATGAATTCATTACTTGAAGTCCCAACGTAATAGAACGAGAATGAGAGACATTCAAGGACCCTCCACACACACAGAGGGAGAGAGAGAGAGAGAGAAAGAGCCTTATTTTGAAAATGGACGGACTTGTAGTGGCTCATCAGCACCATGGACAGCGGCTGACCCATCACAGTCCAATTAGAGCTTCTGTGAGCAGACAGCTCACAAGTTTGGCCCGGCACTTTAACTGCGGTGTTAGATAAGGACGGCAGGCTGGTGGTATAATGGGCTGGTGAGAACACAGTCTTAATAAGGATGTGGTGGCTGAGCTTTAATAAGAGCTGTTGAGAGTGTTATGGAGTAGTTGATACGGTACTAAGGTCTCTGACGACGTCTAATTTGTTCTTGTTAGGTCTCGTAGTTATATGGTGTGATGGGAGGAGGAAATTTAAATGGTGCAGAATCCTGAGGCTGGTTAATGTTTGGACCAGTGGAGGTGGAAGATCTGACTGTGTTCATGTCTTAAATGGAGTTCTCCACAGGGTATTTCTTAGGTACTGCATGTACCAAAGTACAGAGTTTAAACTAAGGGACTAATTAAGAGGAAAAAGTCAATAGATGAATATTTAGTACTTTATACATTTTTAGTCATTTTTACTATTTTTTTTTCTACTGCAGGGGGCGCCAGCTATCATTTGTACGAGGGCCAGAATTTTTTCCTTGGAGTCCAGAAACTCAAATAAAAAACATTATCAAATTTGTCAACATTATTATTTGATACTTATTTTGGAATTAAGTCGCGGGTTGGATTGGATGGTTTGGTGGATCAGATTTGGCCCACGAGCCGCCAGTTGATAATCATTGCTCTACTGTTGTGCACCTACTCTGTGTTCTACTCACTTAAGGGTGAGGCCAGATGATTAACTGTAATTAATATATATATATATATATATATATATATATATAAAGAATGTCTGAGTTTGTGTTGTTTTATCAACTCAACTCGAAGAAAAGAAAAATGTTTCTCAGTACGTGTTAAATATGTCTCTGTGGAGTCCTGTCCAACACGGTGGTAAACATGTTGTAATCTGCATCAACATGTGTACAGTTTTCCAGTAGTACTGCAAATACACGGTAGAAGCCTTTGAATCCCCGGTTTTAAATATTCTAAAAACAACAAAGGTTTCCATTCTGTTCTAAATTTGGTCCTTACCTCCTGTGAACTCCATTTTCCTTCCCTTCTACAGTGTCTCTGGAAAACAAATATCAGACACTAACCCATTTCTGTCTCTCTCTCTTCCTCCCCCCTCCTCCTCCCCCTCCCCTCCGTTTCAGCTGCACTCAGAGGAACCGCTGTGAGAGTGCAGATGAGCCCTATCGCTTTGCCGCTTCCCTCAACCAGTGTGTGAAGGCCACGGTGTACCCAGACAGCATCGCAGTCTCAGAACCCAGCGTACCTGTAAGTGTGCACAGACACCGACGTTCTCACACACACGACCTGCGCGAGCACCAGAGACACGTCGTCACCCGTCCACGTCTCCCCGTCTGCCAGCAGGGGCAGCACGTGTTCACGGCGCTGACAGAGCGTTTTGCCCGGTCGTGATTGCAGATGATACATAAACATTAGGCAGGGAAGTTCAGAAGAGCTCTTGGTGGGCGTTTCAGCTCGCATATGTTCACTTGAAGCAGAGCAGTTAATTTCGTGTGCCAAGACATGTTTGTGTGGGAGTGTGTGTGGGTGTTAATGTTGTCCGAGTGCAGCTAAGTACACGGCTGTATCTCCACAGAACCAGTGGAAAACTGACAGACGGAACACAATAAAAAATAAACAGTCTTACAGTATGTTCGAGGTTTAGTGAGTGGTGAAAATGTAGATCTGTAAAAAAAAAAGTCTGTGTTACTTCGTACAAGACATAAATAAATCAAATATCATATATAGATGGTTCAGACGCCAAGGGGTTTTAAACCACATCTGCAGTATGGTTGCCCTCAAAGTCCAATCGAACTGGAAAACTGAACAGATTTAACTACATCGTGATGTATTATTTAGTATTTATTCATGTTATAAAATATTGTACATTTCTCTGAGTAACAAGTCAATTCCAACAACAAACACAGAGATCTTAGTTCAGAATTCTCTCTCAGTCCGTCTCAGTTGTGGGTGAAGTTGATGAGGTGGCGCTGCAGGTCCTTGAACACACACTGAGTAGATCTGGAAATGCATTGTTGTAGTTGTAATTTATGTTCAATATACAGCAGAGCAGAGGCTTTATTCTAAGCTCCCACGTCCACGCAAAATGACTTGGCCGGCCACATTCAGCCCGCGGGCCTTGAGTTTGACACAAGTGGTTTACAGATCTGTGATTTGAAACACCTTGGATTTTAGGGTTTTTAAGGCTTTACTCTTAAAATATAATTTTTTTTAATATGACTCAACAAAAGTGAATTTGTATCGATGGGTCAAAATGTTAGTTAATGCAGTTATTGACGACGAGGATTCTAACCTTTAACTAACACTAACTAAACACATATTCACATGTTCATTATTATTGAACCATCAGGATATCATCATCATCATCATCATCATCACTTAAATGTTCATTATTATTGAAACATCAGGATATTATCATCATCATCATCATCATCATCATTGTCATTGTCATTGTCATTACAATCATCATCATCATTCTTAACATTTTTGTTGTCTATCTCTTCGTCGCCATCGTCATCATGATAATCATCATCTTCATCAGTATTATCATCACCCTCCTCCTCCTCCTCATCATCATCATCATCATCATTTCCATTGTACATACTCTCCAGTCACCAGCACCGAACAAGACTAACAGCATGAAGGAGAACTTATGTGCACGTGGGAGCTGGTGGGTGTGTGCATGTGTCTTAACAACACCATGAGAGCTAATTGATGTGAGCTTTAACTGGGGGTGGGGGGGACACTGAACACAGTGATGGCTGTAATCAGGGTCCTGTGTGACACGCCTCAGAGACCCAACACAAACATAGTGAAAGTAAACCAGGGGGGAGACGAGGGGTCCTCGGCGGGAGGCCGCGGGGACAAAATCACGCATCCTCTCAACAGTCAACCAGAATCCACTTCCTAATGAGGGAGGCAGCGTCGTCGTCTAACCAGATCGTCAGCGTCTCATGAAAGGCCTGCAGTTAAGCTGCTCAGCTGCCTCGTCCGTCCCAGCAGCCCCGCGGTGTTTAGTGAAAAGCAGATAAAACAAAGAGAAACTTCAAACGGTGTGGCCCAAAAATAACAGCTAATGGAAGAAGGCTGTGAAATGCCATGGTGATAATTATTCAGGTTTGCTCACTTGGCTAGAGCGCCCGATCACACACCATGCATGTGCACAGAACACACTTATTTATAGACAGAGCAGCTGAATACTTCAACCTCAGTGTCACTGCTCTCCGGAGGAAGACTTCAAATACCTCTGTGTGTGTGTGTGTGTGTTCTTGAAGTATTACTATATATTGTACACGCCGAGTGTGAATGTGTGAAATTTATGAAAGCAGGACTTGTGTTATATATATAAATATATGTGTGTGTGTGTCTGTGGTTAATACATTTCTATTTTTACAGCTTATCACGGTGTTTTAGCCACAGAGTGAATACACGTCTACTGTTGTATTACTGTGATAATGGTGCGTTCTGCAGTAAAATTGAAAGGACAGAATCTGAGCACAGTCTTATTATGCTGCTGATCGCAATTTTTAGAGCAACAGCAACGTTTCTTGGCAAATAGACGGACAGCCGAGCCAGGAGCAGTATGTTCTTTTACTGCTGCACATGCTCACGTTGTTGATTTAGCTTCTGTGCCTGTCACTGGTGGAGCGAGATGTTGTGTGTTCAGTTGGTGTAGTTTGTTTTGTTGAGCATCGATAGAGTAAATTCATTTGTCAAATTAAAACATTGACACTGTACATCCAATAACGTCACCGTACGTCTGCTTCAAAGTTGATTCACGTGTTGTTATTTGCGCACGATTTTGGGAAACCTTTTCATTTCACCAAAGCACCTCGGGCTTAAAATACCAACTCAGATCCGTCTTATAGGTCAGACACTCGGCTGGCGTCAGGACAGTCCCTATCAACAGTATCAACTGTCAACTTCACTGAAATTTCAGCTAAGTTTTCAACTGACAAGTATCAACTGTCAACTTCACTGAAATTTTGACCAAAATTTACCAACTCTATGAAGCTAAATTTCGAGTTATACTTTGGCATATTTTTCTTCACATTTCCCTCGTATTAACAATCCCATCATTGGGACTAGTCACAAATAAAACAGGTGTGAAACACATACGTCTGCCTGCTGTTATTTGTCTCTGTGTTCCAAAATGAATTAATCAGGATTAATCGTTAACAGCCCTGAAATAGTCACATGTCAACCCCGTCGACAACTTTGGTCCCGGCTTCGACTGCTGTTCGTAACAAGCTGTTTGGTTTTTGTTCCTCGCCCCCCCATGTGTAGCTGCTGATCAAAGTGAGTGACGTTCCGGACCTTTCTGCCGGCATCACCTGCTCCTTTGGCAACCTGACGGAGGTGGACGGCCAAGTCAACGGCAACCAGATTCTCTGTGTGTCCCCTGCTGCCAAAGACGTCCCGGTCATCCCCACTGACCAGGGTAGGTACACTCACCCAATGGATTTATGACGGAGGCTGATTCAGATATTGGTGTTGACCACCCCCCCAATTCAACACTTGTCATTTTTAAAGCTACCATCTCCACAGCGAACTCCCGCTGATCCAGAATCAGCCGTCTGGCTGTGAGGTGTGCTGCATCTAAGGCCAGGCCTCATTAGAACTGATCCAAGGGCAGATCGAACGGGTTTCAAACTGGTGGAGATCTGGTTTAAAAAGACAGGCTCTTCATCAGCCCGCCTGTTCTGTAACAACGTAAAAAAACGTTTTTATTTAGGGACCACAAAAGACTCCGAGGTCTGGTCCCCAGTAAGGTAAAATACATATTCTACTTATAGCCAACTACATTATATATTCACGTTTACTGTTATTTGCAAACACGCAGTCTGTGCGTGAATGAACAGCGTCTACGTGATCGTAAATACCTGTTGTTCTGCAGTGAGAGGACTGCAGGCGGACGAAAACAAACACCCTGAATAATATATCAAGTGCCATGTGTGGAAATGCTTTCTCTGAGGTTCTGGTAAATCCTGCTGCCTTCCTGAGTAAATGACAGTCCTGTTTGCTCACAGTTCCCATGGGGAGTGGAGCATCAGGCGCTAATATCAATGTTCTCCCCCAGGTAAATGTCAGCCAATCCCCCCTCTAAGCCTTTTCTCCGTCTAGCTGCCCATCTACTACAC